TACACACAAAAGGTCTTCCCACTATTCTATGACCTTCCTGAGTATGGGTCACTAGGATCTTTGGCCCAGAGCAGACAGAGGTTAGTGTAAAGCTGTCCCCACCCACAGTAGAGAAACTGGATGCATGGCTTTGTCCCATGGCCAGATGTGACATGCTCTGCTAGATAGAAAGCCATCCCTCAAGACTGAGGACAGTCTGCCCTGTCAGCCTCTGCTGACACCACCCTAAGTTATCCCTTCTCCTTCTTCTGAGTCCTGCCTAACTATGGCAGCTCTTTAGGTCTGGGGACATCCAGATCAAGGCGAGTAGACATGTTCTCAAACCATATTCTCTGTGCTCTTCACTGTACCAAGGCACCTCCACACCAGGGACAGCTGTCATAGCCACTCCAGGATCCTAAAACCAAAAGAACCCAAAGTATGCAGATTTGATGCCCTTTCCCTCCTTTCTCTTCTGCCCCAACTCAAGCATTGCCCAATCAGGATCACCAAGGACCTTTCCCCAGATGCTACTTTTACAATGAGAAACACCATTCCCTGTCTCTATCAGAACATTCCAGAAGCCTGCTGCCCTTCTCTACATACAGATGTGCTGTCAGAGATGCCAGGATGAGCAGATCCTGACCTGAGAATTCACAGCACTGAGACACATGTGCATTTGTGCATGAGCATGTACACATGTGTACTCAATCTCCAGCCTACCGCAAACTCTCTGCTGCCCATAGTTTAAGGGCCAAGACAATGCAGGAAAGACTTCAGGAGGAAAAGCAAGCAAGCCAGGTAGGCCTGTGGCTCCTGGCTGTTGTTTCTCACTAAGCGGCAGCCCCATTGTTACTGATCAATGATGAAGCAGGTTGCTGACTCAATCAGAGAGGGGTTCCATGTGTTCTGGACCCCAAACTAGACATACAGCAATTAGAGATGCCTCTTCTATCTCTCCCTCCCTGCAAAGGGGATCATCATCCTAATCACTCATGGGAAATCCACTGCTAAGGTCCTGCAAAGAGGAAAGACTCTCTTTCAATTATGCTGGCCACACAGTCCAGCTCAGCCCTGACAGCACGTTCACCAGGGCCAGGTGGTCAGAACGCTTGATGTCACCAGGTGGGACAATTAAAACCATCTTGCTGGCAAGACGAGCAGCTGAGTAACGGGAATTGCCACTTCCCATCCAGATCTCCTCGCTCAGACAGTCCAATTACCTGGAATTAGTCAGGCAGCACCAGCTGGGAAATGGGGTGTCACCCACTGGATCGACGCCAGTAAGAAAGCAGGGACATTTCAAGGAGGGGGAGGGGGAGACTCCAGGAGCTAGCTGGACCAGCCAGGAGAAAGGGCTGGATTCAAGACTGGGATCACAGAAGCACAGACACTTGGAGTCATGCTGAGATGCTGATGGATGGTGGCTCTACCCAGCAGACAGTGCTCTGGAGAGCACACACTGCAAGTTCCCCAAAGCCCACCCAAACCCTATGACTGAGAGGTCTTAACTCTAGGGGCATCCAGAAGCTTTCAGATTTTTAAAAATATGGTTATTTGTTTGTTTGTTCTATTAAAAGCAGTTACCCTGGTTTTTTGTTTCTGTTTTTACATCAAAGGTCATCAGCCCAACAAGGATTCATATTTCCTGAACTTCTCTTCCCAGTCTGTGCAGATGAGCCGATTGCATCAGACTTAAGGTCAAGCACCCTACAACAGGACCAGACATAGTCACAACCTATGCCAGGGATAAGAGGCAAGAGCCATGTTGGCCTCAGTGTGTTGCTACCCCAGTTTGTGTTCGGGCAAACCACCTTTGAAAAAAGAATGTCTTTGCCAAGATACTTGCCCTTTGTGCATTTCTTTGTGCTCTGAGATGATTCATTTTTGTTTCTAATGAGATGGTTCAAATGTCCCAAAACGAGGTCAAGACACAGTCCTCATCACCTGGAGATGTACTTCCTCATTATCTGAGGTGCCCAGAGAGGGCGTGGACCCTGATGGGAGACCTCCCAGGTATTGGAGGCAACCTTTTTGGGACAGACAGGGAGGAAACAGCAGCAAGAGGCTGGCTGACGTCCACTTATGACCTGGACGTGTTAAGGGTATTAGATCTCCCTGTGGGGACCACATCTCAGAGGCCCTGTGGCCCAGGAGCTACAAAGTGTCAGGAGCTCCCCCCACCCCCACCCCAGGAGATGAAAGATCTGGTTCTCTAAAGCAGCCAGTGACTCAACAGGCATTCGTTTTCATTCCAAATGTTCTGTTGTTCTTAGATTTAGATTCGGGTGTGTCTGTCTGATATGCTGAGAATCTGCTTTATACTGAAGAACTGCTGGTTCAGCCCCCAGGACCAGGAACATTCTGTTTCTCCCACCCAAACCACAGCCTGATCCCAGCCATGACCTCTGCCTGACCTACCCACCAAACAGTGCCATGACGGCAGCCCTGTTCTAACAGTTGGGAAGTAGAAACATCCAAGAAGCTTACCCAATGACAAGTGACCAGTAGACTATGGTCTGTTTGGATGGGAGGCTTGAGGAGGAGGAACCAGACTAGAGAGAGCTTGGCAGCTAAAAGCACTGTCGCTCTTACAAAGGGCCTGGGTTTAGTTCCTAGCACCCATATTGGATAGCTCACTGTAACTGCAGTTCCAAGAGATGTGACGCCCTCTTCTGGCCTCCATGGGCACTGCACACATACAGTACACAGCAGACACACACATAAAAACAAATACAAGTATTTGGGGTTTGGAGTGGTTTTTGTTTTTGAGTTTGTAAGAGTGAGGAACTGGAGAGATGGCTCAGCAGTTAAGAGCACATGTCGTTCTTGAAGAAAACCCAGGTTCGGCACCCAGGACCCACATGGAGGTTCACAATCCATAACTCCTCCTCAGGGACATACATGGCACATAATACATACACAAAGTAAAACAACCATATACATAAAATAAAGCTTAAAAAAATATTGGGAACACTCTGACCTTGCTCACCACCTGAGTAACCATGAAAGTAGGCTCCACAGGGGCTGTGGATGTCTGTTTACTAGACAAACACTGCCTTCCAGGGAATTAAAATCATTTGGAACTAGCACAAGTCTATAGTTGCACAATGCTGTGAATGAATACTGTGCTGTGAAACTGCACCTTTAAATGATCATACTACTTAGGTGGGATAGTACACACTGGCAATCCTAGAATCAGAAAGGCAGAGGCATGAGATCATAAGTTCAAAGTCATCTTCAGCTAGAACAGTGAGTTCAAGGCCAACCTATGCTACGTAAGACCCTGAGTTTGGGGCAGGGAGGCAGGGAGGGGGAGTCATTTTATGTTGTGTGAGTTTTATCTCAACACTTAAAAGAAGTGGCATTGTGGTGGGATTGGTCTGGAATGGCACTCCAGAACTGGGAGCTGGGTCTGCTCCAAGGAACAGTCTTCTACATGAGAAGCCAGTGCACCCCATGAGCCCTGAGGATCTCACAGAGGTGGTCTTCTCCAAGTCCTGACTGCAGCCACATGTCACCCCAAATTGGGTGGGAGGCATAAAAGAACACAAGTTTACCACTTTATGGCTCAGGAGACCACAATTCAAAACAGGTCACCCAGGAGCATGCGTGTGTCCTGTCGGGAGGCTTCCTCGACTTTCTGGCTGTGAGCTCTGATTGTCTTCCAGGCTCTGCATCATCTCAATCTCTGTAACCTACCAGCAATCCTTAACTCTCCTCTGAACCTGGCCTCCCTGGATCCCTCTGACCACAAAATTCATTACACCTGCAAAAGTCTCACCTATTTCGCTGTCACACCTAAACGTGTGTATCCAAAGATTAGGAGGACAGTGCATCTTGGGTTGGGGGCACCATTCAGCCTTCATGGATCGTAGTCTGTTGGTATCACTGTGCACCAGGGGCTCGGCACCACACAGAGCAAAGCAACCCCGAGGGGTTAAGACACAAGCAACAGACACATCTTCACCAGCATCGTAACCTAGAGTGTGGGAGCATCCTTCCCCAAACATCCACACTTGGCCTTGACCTATAGACACTTTTACCCTTAAACGTGTCCTTCCTCCTAGCCATTCTGACCTCATTAGGACACCCCCTAGGCTTCCACTGGGTTCTGGCCAGAAAAAGGCTTTGATTCAAAAAACCTCAAGTCCCTCAAGAACTCATGCAACGAATATCTCATGGATACACTGACATGGCACCTGCTCTATGACTCTCTGTAAGTGAGCCAACAGCTCCCACCAAGGGACCCTATGCTCCCCCAAGACCCAGCATGTTGCCCTGCAGGCAAAGCAGAGTACACCAAGGTAGCACTTAGAGGCTAGCAGCCTCAGGATGTCTCTAGTACCCATGTGTGACCCGCATGCTCAGCTGTTAAGAGAGACCCTTCCTGTCATCCCTACCACTGGCCTATATCCTAGGGATACCCTCAGACATGGCTGAAAAGAACAGCTCTGTGTACCCCAAGCCCCAGGTGAGATGAAACCTATCTTCCTGACCTGTACATCAGAGGTCAAAATCTTCAAGGATTGGGTCTCACCTGGGCCACCCAACCCTCTCTGCTGCAACCCATCCATGAATCAGAGAGAGATGACAGGCCACAGGAGCATTAGCGGCTGGACTGTCCTGTCCATGAGATCAGAGTGAGGCAGTCTATGGGGGCTGGGTACTCTGAGAGCCTTATGGGAACCCTAAGGCCTATGGGCAGGGAAGTGTACCGCCCGAGCCCTGTGAACTTACACCAGCTCCAGCACTCAAACCAGGCCCCGGGGCCAGAGCTGGGGAGGTGCATTCAAGCGGGCAATGATCTGTGCTAGGATTAATTTGCTGATCTTATTACCTAAATCGAAAGCTATTTTGCAGCCATCATAACATGCTTGCAAGATTTCCCCAATGTGAACCCTCTCCCACACAACCCTGGCTGCTGCTGATACACAGCCAGAGCTCAGTGTGAAAGCTCCTGATTCAGATCTACAGGCAGGGGTGCCTCTATGACCTGTCGGTGTCACTCGGGAGCTCACCTGATCCCTTTGCTCTGTGCGATGCTGTGCAGGGACAGACGGGACACTGCAGAGATGACCTGGGGGAGACAAGAGAGAGTTCTGTCATCACAAACCGCACCGAGGGTTCTGCAATTGTGGAAATTGTTAACTAAGCACACCACGTAAGAACGACAGAGCTTTTCAGGCTCAGCACCTGTGCAGTGTTTACTGCATGAAATCTATTATTTGGCCACATTAACATTTGCTGAGGGCTGCTGTGCTCATGGTAGGGTGCCTCCAGGAAGAATGGATTTCCTCTTATGAGGCAGTGCTTCCCCCACAACCTCCTAGCCTGCTATGAACCACCCTAAACTGTTTTCTTTAGCAGGTGGAAGAAATGTTTCAAAGGGTTTCTGTGGGTTCTGTCTTAACTGAAGTCCTGCCTAAAAAGGGCTCGTCCGGTACTACTATTCTATATGACTAACAGCAGCCCGTGTCCACAATAAGTACTAACCCATCTCAGAGACAGAGAAATGGAGGCCCAGAGAGGTCCAGTCATACCACAGCTCCAGTGCCACAAAGACAGAAACATCCATGTGTAGGGCTTGCTGCAAGCCCCAGCTCCAAGTCAGACCTCTCAACAGCCCCCAGCTCCCAGTCAGGATGCCAAAGGCAAAGGAGTCCCAGGTACAGACCCCCATGGACCTTGGTAATGTCTCCCCAGGCTGACAGACTCCTCAAAACACAAGCTTGGAAACACAGGGCAAGCAGCAGTGGGCATTTCTCAGCCCCAACAACCTGGTTCAGTCCTAATAAACCAGGAGCTTCCAGACAGGAAGGGCTTCCTCCTCCAACCTCAAACATTCCATAGAGCTTCATAACTCAGAGAAAGCAGGCAGGGGGCAGGGAGGTTCACAGGTCAATATGAAGAAACTAAGGGGGAGGGGAAGAAGGGGGTGGCTGGCCCAGGAATATAGAATGTGACATACAATTAAGCAACAGGATGAGCGGATACAAAGCATGCCCAGTGGTGGGCATCATGCACAAGCTGAAACCAGAGTGCCATACACGTGTCAGAAGGTTCATGTGTCTATGGGTGCACATGGGCATAGCTGTGTATATTGCATATATTTGCTCATATGCCTGCATGTATGAGGGAAGAAACACAGGAAAATTGGTTTGTAAGCCTCTGCTCACTCTATAGACACTAGGGCAAGCCAGAGCTTGGGTGTCTGGGGAAGTGAGCTCAGTTTTCCATAGGATTCCAGGCCTCACTATCTGTCTCACTGTGCATACTTGGTAAGGAAAAGAGAGCCGCCCTCATTTACCCAAAGCCCTCGGCAGGAACACACTCCCTGCAGTTCCTTTAGGCTTTTCTGTACTCAAAAGCAATTTTCAAAGGGAAAAGGGCCCAGCAGAGGTTTTTTGTATGTCCAATGGGCGGTGAATTCAGTTCACAGCAGAGTGTGTGTCTGGGTCTCCTGTCAGTGTCTATATTTCAGGGGCTAAGACTCAGGGAAGTTATGGTGGGGAATAACTGGGGTCCTCTGTGTTTGTTCAGACAAGTCTCAAAGGGCTTGATGTGCAGCTGGCCCGGTCGAGGCTCCCAGCAGCCTGCTCTACAAGGGGCCTTTCACAAATAACAACCAAAATGGCTTTTGTTGTTATTTTTGGCTTTTAAGGGCTCTAAATATTTCGGGGAAATAAAAATTAAGGTAATATGACATCCTTATAGATACTCAACGGAATGCTAGAAATGCAAGCCTTGAGCGTAGGGTCTATAGTAGCTGCCCTTCTCCTATGCCTCCTGAGGCAAACGTTGTTAATCACTAATCAACTGATACATGCTTTCCCATGAGCCAACACAGGCACAGAAACTTAGTAGAGTCTGAAGATGGCATGAGCCATCAGTTTTCACAGCACAGAAGCCACAACCTGTTCACCAAACCAGACACACAGCCAAGGTCTCATTCCCACAGGTGGAGACCAGGACTGCCATCAGGTAGATGTAGGTCTTCCTCGTCTGTGTATCTGTCTGTAGTCCCGGGGATAGTATCAATCCTGCAGCTGGCCTACACCTGGTCCTGGGCACACATACCTTGCTTAGCAGTCTGTAGAGGACTCAGCTCGGAGCCACAGTGGCAGGCAGAGCAGGCAGCCCTTCCCTCCATCCTAACACGTTATGTGCCTTTCATCTGGTGCCTGTGCAGGGAGGAGACTGACTCTAGTGACCCCAAGCAGGGCCTTCAGAGACATAGCTAGGACCCCGAGAGAACTATGGGTAGATCAGGGCTGGAGACGTCAAGTGAAGCTTGGTGAAGACAAGAGTAGAACCACCTCTTCAAGGGGAAGAAAAGCAAATCCCCGGCTCCCACAGTGCTTCTTGATGTGGCCTCTCACTCTGAGGCTAAATAGCCAAGTGTCCCCAGGGCTAACACTCTCAGCTGACCATCAAAAGCCTCCCTGCCAGGGCCCCTGGGAACTTCTGAACACGGAAATGTCAAATAATGACATTTTCCCAACTTTCATTTCCGCCTCCCAGCTGCGTCCCTGATAATAAATGGAGGCGATCCCACTTCTCCCCTCTCTCTTCAGATACCCAGCTCCATCCTCGGTGCTACCACTTACCCAGCTTTGTCAGAACCCAAGCCGAGCTAGCATTGCGCTGGGGGAGTACAGGGATCAGGAAGGAGCAGTCAAGCCCCAAGAGAATTGCAGAAACAACTGCACCACCAGCTCCCTGACATCCTTGATAACCACCAGGGTCTCACCCGCCGACAGGCACAGTGAGAACTGAAGGAAGGAGTACACTGAGCAGCCTAGAGGATGGTGACCCTGTCGGGGTCTGGGTCATGGATGTAAATCTTGGCTCTACCCCACCTATAGGTGCTCTAACTCCAAATGCCCAGCCTCTAGCAGCCTGCCAGCCCACATACATGACAGGGGGCAGACCTCACCCCACCCCACCCTGCTCCACAATGTTTGGGGTCTAGGAATCCACATTTACTGTGAAGCTCCTATGTGGCTAATATGTGTGCCTGTCTCTAGAGAATAATTAACACTGATAACACTACAAACTGGGTCAAAGCCAGAGAAAGAGTCAGAGAGCACACATCCATATTGTCCACCTCTGGGTGCATTGCAGAGACAGGGATCCCAAAAGAACACACAAAAGGAGCTCAGTACACTCCAGCTGGACAGCAAAGTAGCAGGTCAAGGAAGGACCTGAGGAGAGAAGGGGGAAGGACCTGAGGAGAGAAGGGG